ATGCATGAGACCCCATCCCCCGAACAGCTATCCAACGTCGTGTCAGGCCCTGCATTGCCTTGCTCACCATCACGACCACGGACACAACTCTTGCTTCGAGAACGAGAACATGTAGGGCATCCGCTGATTGGATTGCAGAGTCATCAAGATATGGATAGTACGTTGACAGGATCATATTGCCTACAAGACAAGAATGTACCGAAAGCTGATTAGCCGCCTACCAGTAGAAGCGAGAAGCAGACGGCATGCCCAGCTAAGGGCCCCAAGGGTCGATCTGCTCGGCCGCGAGCCTACGGAGTAGACCAGAGCGAGGACGTCCCCACCGACGACGGCGACGCCAGCCCAAGGTCGAGGTAGACTGTGAAGAATAAGACGCCGGTGCCAGCGCGATTTTTCTCAGCGCGCGCCGGGCCCGTGCGTGGGAAGTGCCCGACGCGCGAGGATAAAAATGCGCGGTGCGGCGCGTCCCTGCTCTTTACGAAAGTTACACCTCGTTATATTTGGGATGCCCTTCTCTTCCAAGGTAGCGTCTTGAAAGTTTGGCGAGGGAGAGCGGCTCTCTCCATCTCAAGATCGCGTCGATGCCTTCTTCTACGTTGATAGCGGCCCGTGTTGGAGGTACATACCTACTGTCGCCCTCTGTACTACCTACCTCGTGCTGTTACCTCTAATGCATGCTCTCGTGGCCAGTTACTTCTGGATCATTGCTGAATGCGTACAGCCTGCTTTGGCTTTGGCAGCCTCTATCTGAGTGGAGCATACCTGGCGAGTTCACTCGTCCTGGTCTACTCGCACTCATCGTCGTGTCTGCCCTTGCATTCAGCCATTCGGGATGCAAGATATGGCCGCACCAGGCGGTCGTATCCTGTCCCAGCCATGCTGGCAATAAAGCATGTTACGTTCAACGTTGACTCGAGACCTTCAAGACTTTTGCGGATCTCTGGACTCGGCACCATGACGATGTGTTTGCCTGCAAAGAACCGGTAGGTAGCATATACTCGCACGAATGGACAGCGCTCATACTACCTTACGAACTCCCAGTGCAGCGATATGTATCTCCCAGAGTTTCGGTGAGGTAGTCGCATCTATCGGAAACCGCGCACGCTCGCTGGTAGGAGCATACTGCAGGCCCTGCAACACACCTGCACGCAGGAGCTACCAGCTCCAGGCCTGTTGTCACGCCTTTGTGTTCAACCCTCCGTCGAATCGGTGGCAGTCCAGCGAAGGAGCCGAGGTAACATGGACCAGTGAGCCGGACACTTTCACCGCATTATGTGCTTGTCGCCAATATGACTACCACTGTGAATCACTGTGACATCGTCTCCGGGAACGTTCTTGTGGTGTGGGTTTCTCCAGTCTTGTAGCGGTGATACGGCATACTGAACGAACCTGCGCTTCACTGGCAGTCAACGTTACGTGCGTCATATGTGTTCTGACTCAGGGAATAATTCAGGACACTGAGCATTATCTATACCAGGAACGAGGTTGACGTGTAGGCGACGACGTCTAGATATAGTACCGTTGACGCGGTGATATCTGGTCCTATCGCCGACGTGTCTGTCAGGTCCTTAAGCGAGACACAGAGCGAAAGACAAATGGCACGTACCTGGAATACAGCGTTCCGACAAAATCGGCCAGCTCTTTGTTGTGTCAGCTGGAGCATTTAGGCTGCCCACGACGCTATGAGTCAGTCATCTATTCATCTCAGTCTAATTCTCAAAGGTTCAGCAGGACGAGTGGTGCTATAAGGCGTGCCTCTCGAGGGACATTAGTTATGCTTGATATACAGCAGCTCATCCTTTGTCCGATCATTTGAAGCTCAAAGATGTGGTACTGTGCTTGTAGCAGTGCTAGTAACAGGAGCACTCAGATTTGTGCAATGTATGTCATGTGAGCGCGGCTTGATTCCGGGCGCGAGTGCCGAGCCCGAAAGGTTAGCAATCGTGAGCTCGTGACAGACCTACGTCGGACCTACGCTGGCTGATTCGACGTTGCCTTGTGAAACCTCAAACGAGTTGGTTCCAAAGGATTATACACGCGCATTGTCAAGGGAGATCACATGGTCGTGATTGCGGGGGAAGCGGGGGAGAGTAGCACGTGAAAATGTGATGGGGTCGGCGCAGGCATGAGATTACGATGTCCGAGGGCGTCTTACCACAACTCAAGACCGCGTCGCGCAGCTGCCGTGGCTCTTCATCTCTCCCTCCATCTCCTCACTCAATCCCACCCATGTCTGCACAGTACGCTTCCAACGCCTCTAGCTCAGGAAAGAGCAAGGTCCTCGTGAAGAACCCCGACGACGTTGTCATCGTCTCCGCGGTTCGCTCAGCAATCACGAAGGTGTGAGCCCCCCCTCTCGCTGCCTGGCAGCTATGCTCACCCTTGCATGCATTAGGCGAAGAAGGGTGGCTTCAAGGACACGCGCCCTGAGGAGCTCCTCTCCGGTGTTCTCCGCGCTGCTTATACCAAGGTCGGCCTCGACCCCGCACTCATTGAGGACATAACTGTCGGCAACGTGCTTCCTCCCGGAGGCGGTGCCACCGCGGCACGCATGGCTGAGTTGCATGCGGGCATCCCAATTTCTACGCCCATCAGCACCATCAACAGGCAATGTTCCTCCGGGCTTGCCGCCACGAACAACATCGCTGGGTTGATCAGGTTGGGTCAGATCGACATTGGCCTCGGTGCGTGACCGCGTCAATTGCACGAGGCTCTCTCCGTGCTGACAAGATGCACTGACGTGCTCTTTCAGCTGCCGGTGTTGAGTCCATGACCTTCGGCTTCAACGCAGGCGTGAACCCGGACGGCTTCTCCGAGGCAGTGCTCTCCCACAAGGAGTCCGAGGACTGCTTGATCCCCATGGGTCTTACCTCCGAGAACGTCGCCCACGACTTCCACGTCTCGCGCGACGACCAAGACGCGTTCGCCGCCGCGTCGTTCCAGAAGGCGGCCAAGGCGCAAAAGGATGGCCGATTTGTCCCTGAGATTCTACCCCTTACCGTTCCGTGGGTGGACCCGAAGACGGAGAAAGAGGGCACGATTGTCGTGGACCACGATGATGGTGTACGGGATGGCGTCACGAAGGAAAGCCTCGCAAAGCTCAAGCCCGCGTTCAAGAAAGACGGTTCCACGCATGCCGGTGGGTTCTTTTAGCCGGCTGGAATCAGTAGTCTGTGCTCATCAGTTGTACAGGTAACGCGTCGCAGGTCTCGGACGGCGCCGCCGCCGTCATCCTCGCGCGCCGCTCGGTCGCACAGCGCCTCGGCCTGCCCATTCTTGGCAAGTTCGTCGCTGCTGCTGCAATTGGCGTGCCCCCGCGGATTATGGGCGTCGGCCCGCTCTACGCGATCCCGAAGGCGCTCGCGAATGCGGGCCTGACCAAGGAGGACGTCGACTTCTTTGAGATCAACGAGGCGTTTGCGAGCCAGGCTCTGTACAGCATCCACGAGCTGGGTCTCGACATCAGCAAGGTGAACGTCTGGGGCGGCGCGATCGCGCTCGGGCACCCACTTGGCTGCAGTACGTGCCTCGGTTTTCATTGCGTATTGTGTGATGTGGCTGACTTCCGTGTGTAGCTGGCGCGCGGCAAATCGTGACCGGCCTGAACATCGCGAAGCAGACCGGGACCAAGATCTTCGTGACGAGCATGTGCATCGGCTCGGGGATGGGCATGGCAGGAGTATTCGTGAGCGAGCAGTAAGCACTGCGAGTACTTGCACTTTGGCCGCTGGTGGCCGATAGGGATTGGTACGCTCTCGCTTTTTGGGGCGGCACGGTGCCTTGATTGACCATGCTTTTACAGGAACGGCCTTTTGTTGTACTAATAATTTAGCACGATGGCGTTCTGGAAGAATGTCTGTTTGATAGTTTGATTCCTCATCATTTACTCGATGTGCTCACTTCTGTTCATGCTGAACGAGGGCATTGTACAATTAAGAACAACAGAAATTTGGCTTGTGTCTTGAGTCCATGCATGACCCACGGATTAGCTTGGCCTCATCAAGACAAACCGATATCTATCTCGCCTGTGGTATTGTAGGTATATCGCTGCCTATTAACATGAGACCGATCCCAATCTCCCGTTGCATGCTACAGTTGGGGATCGACGCTTTGAGCGCCATATCACAGTGACAGCACTAAGACTGTCAGAACACACTCTAACCTTTTTCTTACCTGATAGAGCGATGCCACCTGCAATTGCAAGTTGAGCTGCGCGTGGAAACGAACAAACGAACCCAAGCTGTTCAGCCACCTTCACGTGATCGCACGACTCGCGCCGAGAGGGACGTTCCCGTGCGCCCTCGCGCACTTCCAGCCGGTTGATCACAGCTGTCCGTCATGGTAAGGTCTACGTCTATCACAGTATGAGTTACTACCCCCTCACTGCGGACCAATTTCCTCATAACTTGCGCACATGCCGCGTGCATGGCTCGGGTTCGCGCCCTGCATCTCCGAGTCGTCACCTGACCGTGTTCTGCACACGCGAGAGGTGCTCCAGTCACAGTACCCCTATCATGATGATGACTGCGTCGCTCTTCCGAGTCTACAACTCTCCCGACATGTTGTAAGCCGGCGGATAGGGAGGTTGTTGCTGAGCGGCCCGGCACATGGTGAATGTTGTTAGTCGGGCGGGGAATTCGTGGTTTCCCTTGAAGCCAAGCCCGTCCCTCCCCTCACTGATCTTGTCTGGGTCTACCTACTGGATACTGGCTGTAGGCATGTGGAGAGAACATAGCCTAGTACGGTACATGTAGACTCAGACTAGTGTGTGGTGTTCTTAGTGAGCGTTGTCGTGACCGTCGGGCATGATCGGTGCAGTGACCGGGGCTCAATTCAACTTGACCTTCCTACCTCTTTCCCTGCCCATTACAGTCCCGGACAGTGCCTTCACATCCACGAAAATTCCTGTTCGTTGGGTGAATATGACAAGTGGCAGTTCCCGACTCCGGAGTACATGTTTCACCAATGCCATTGATAGGCGTTAAGGAAGCATATCCCGAGCCGAGATAGCTCAGTTGGGAGAGCAGCAGACTGAAGAGATACCGAATTCTGAAGGTCGGGCGTTCGATCCGCCCTCTTGGCACTTGTTTTGCCTTTTACTTGTGGGTACAGTAGTTTTGGGAGAGTGTGTGGAAATGTTCTCACACCGCGATCTTCAAGTCTTTCGATTGCAGGGAAGGCAAGCTGCGGACATATAATATACAGGGACATGGACACTTAGTAGGACATATGTTGGTAAATGCTAGAGCTCTCAAAAGTATGTTAACCTCACACACCATGAATGGGCATTGGAAATATTTGACATAAGCAAATCTCAGGTCACTCTACGATACCCTCGTTTAACCTCCATATCAAGAAGTCTTTCCAAGGCATTTCCAACTCTTCCACATCACTCTGGTCAAGCCAGAACGCCACAGGGAAGACATTCATGGCCTCTATGTCTGGATCGGAGAGGCGCATCACAACAAGCACGGCGCTGCTCGGTCCCCGATGACTGGTTGCCTCCTCCCTGCAAGTACGCAGGCGAAGGCGCATCTCGTCGATTTTCTCTGGGGGGAAGAACGATGTGAGAGTCTCGAGCTGCACACCCATGACGTAGAAGCGCTTCTCTGGTCGCGCGCGGAGCGCATTTGGGCGCGTGCGCAGCTCGATCACTAGTACGTCCTCGCGATCCCTCGACGTCGCAACTGGATCTGTCGAAAGGGGTGGAAGGTAACTGAGGCGAACGGAATAGAAGGTGGCCTCAGAGATATTGGCGCGATGCTTGCGCGTGAAGTCGCGAAGAGCTTCGAACCGTTGGAAGTCTTGGGGACGCGACATTAGTGTGTCGTGTGTCTCCCGGTTAAGTTTGCATATTTGTTTGTGCACGGGCCATGCAGCCTTTTGGCACTGTTTGCTCTGAAGAATAGAGCACAGGGCCTCCGGTTCAATGTTACGTAGTATGCACGACGACGTCTAACTCACGCAGTACTTGTCAACCCCGCATCCCCCACACTTTCTCATTACTGCTCCTTCGTTTTGGCATCTCGTGCAGTGCACACACTGTCGCGCTCGCCGGCTGAGCGTTTCGTCAGGATCTGAGTAGGCATGTCTGTGCCTAGCATCCTGGGCAGGAGGAACTCGTTCTGCTGGGACAATCGCCTGCTCGGGAGCGACGTTCATGTTTGGACGAGGGACGGTGTCTGCTGTTCAGGGAGTAAGGTGAATCGAACAGCGTGATCAGAGATAGAGGAGACGGGACCGGTGAGTCTTACGTCGCGGCGAGGCGACTATATTGTGGTCCCTTGGAGGTAGCTGGAATCCGCCTCACACGTGATATATTCCAAAGTCATTCGACCTCACAGTTCCTCCGTTGATTGCTAAGAATGGCTTGTTTGCGGATAATGTTAGACAATTATCACAGATGTGCCCTATATAAAGTGAAGATACTGATCAATATGTTTCCGCGCGGGCCGGAGACGCAAACTTCACGAAACGCCGCTGCACTTCTTGTTTCTTCCTCACTCAGCAAATACCTCCTCCTCGAGCCTAGGTTTGCTTCATCTGCGAATAGGTCATCTTGACCCTTGCTCACCATGGCACCCGACCCACGCCTGGCCGACCGCAAGACTTCGTTTACCTCCTTCTCCCACATCCTCGATGCGCGCATTCTCCGCGCCCTCGCCGACCTGGGGTTTGCCCGCCCGACGCTCGTCCAGTCTAAGGCGATCCCGCTCGCCCTGGAGAACCGCGATATCCTTGCGCGCGCACGGACGGGGAGTGGAAAGACCGCTGCATACTGCATACCGGTCGTGCAGAAGGTCCTGAACGCTATAGCTGTGGGTATGCATCTCCCCGTGGTCTGCATATTGTAGAGCGCTGATGGCGGGAGTAGAGCAATCTCTCTGAGGAACCCTCGAGACAGACAACGCGTGCGCTGATATTGGTGCCCACGAGAGAGCTGTCCGAGCAAGTTTATACACATCTCGTCGGGCTATTGAAGTATTGTGAGCAGGAGGTGTTGGTGGCGAATGCATCCACCGCGAGCTCGACGCAACTACAAAAGTACGTTCACCAATGTATTTATTTCCTTCGCTTTCTTGACATGCGTTATGTAGAACCCTCCTCTCCGACCACCCCGATATAGTGATTGCGACACCCTCCCGAGCACTCACCCTCGTACAAGCCAAAACACTCTCCCTCTCCTCTCTCGATACGCTCGTCATCGACGAAGCCGACCTGATCCTCTCCTACGGGCACGACGCCGACATCCGCACGCTGCTCTCCGGCGGGCACCTCCCGCGCGTCTTCCAGTCGTTCCTGATGAGCGCGACGATGACGGAGGACGTCGAGGCACTGAAGGGGCTCGCGCTCCGGAACCCTGCGATCCTGAAGCTCGAGGAGGATGCGGAGGAGCACGCGTTGACACAATTTAGCGTGCGCTGCAGCGAGGCGGACAAGTTCCTCCTGACGTATGTCGTGCTGAAACTGCGGCTCGTCAAGGGCAAGTGTCTTATCTTCGTGAACGACGTCGAACGGTGTTATCGCGTGAAGCTGTTCCTAGAGCAGTTTGGAATCAAGAGTTGTGTGCTGAACTCGGAACTACCGTTGAACTCGAGGTCAGTGCATCATTCTGAAGTAGAGGTATCGCGCGGCTCATTGGGTCGTGCAGGTACCATGTCGTGCAAGAATTCAACAAGGGCGTATATGATTACATCATTGCCTCGGACGAAAGCGCAGGAAAATCAGAGCAGGACTCCGAGGACGAAGAAGAGGAGGAGTTAGCAGCCGAAGGTGAAGGCGAAGGGGACGGCGAAAAAGATGAGGACGAAGGGCAGCAAAATGAAGTGGATGATGAAGAATGTAAGTTTCCCGCACATCCGTCACAGTCATTCACTCAATCGTCTACAGTCACGACGACGCAGCGTGAGAAGCCCGCTGCCTCAACTTCATCCTCCCAACCTCGCCAAAAGCGGAAACGCTCGCCGCCGCCGTCTGACAAAGACGACAGCAGCAAGCCTCACAAGCGGAAAAAGAAGGCGAAGCACGCACGCGACGCGGAGTATGGCGTCGCGCGGGGCGTGGACTTCATCGACGTCGCGTGCGTGCTCAATTTCGATCTGCCGCGGTCGGCGCGGGCGTACACACACCGTGTCGGGCGCACCGCACGGGCGGGGCGCTCGGGCATCGCGCTGTCGTACGTCGTGCCCCGCGCGCAATTCGGGAAGAACAAGGTCGTCGGGGGCGTGCCCGGTTCGGAGCGCGACGAGGAGGTGTGGGCGCGCATCGAGCGCAGGGAGAAGGAAAGGGGGCGCGAGGTCAAGGAGTACAAGTTCGATATGAAACAGGTCGAGGCGTTCCGATACCGCATGGAGGACGCGCTCCGGGCGGTGACGAGGGCGGCGGTGCGGGAGGCGCGCATCAAGGAGCTGAAGACGGAGATCCTGAACTCGGATAAGCTGAAGGTGCGTGTGTGTCCGTGCAGTGGTGACGTCCGCGGCGGCGCTGACGCGGGTGTGCTAGGCCCACTTCGAGGATAACCCGCTGGACCTGGAGTATCTGCGGCACGACAAACCGCTCCATCCGACGCGCGTGCAGCCGCATATGAAGCATGTGCCGAAGTACCTGCTGCCTCGCATGGCGCCTGTCCCCGGCGCCGAGGTCGCCAGTACTCAGCCCAGTAATGAGGCCGGCGAGGGATTCGTCCCGTTCAACAAAAACGGCGCCCGTGGTCGAGGACGCGGAAGAGGACGGGGTGGTAGAGGAGCACCTGGAGGTAGGGGCCGCAAGAAAGCTGATCCGTTGAAGAAGTTTGGTCGGTGAGGCCGATAGGCATGCCATTGTAACATTCGCAGGTGGCTCCGTTGTGGAACTCTCTTTGTCTCCCCTTCCTTCCAATCTCGCGCACCGAGTGAATAGGTGCCTTTGGCTCCCGTTGCGTTTGAGTCGTTGTATCATCGGGGTTAGTAATCTCCATCTCCGGTGCGGCACCTCTATCAATGTGCGCACCATAAGCTATGCCCGAAGTGGTGTTGTAACTGCACTCTCAATGGCTTAGTGAGTGTGAGGGTGTCGCAGTGCATGCTTCTCGTAACCTGTAAGACTTATATCCAAGATGCAGACAAATGGGATCCGAGAGTATAATAGTAGCGACGACGGAAATAGGGAGTGTCAAATGGTAGAACATACAGGCGGCGAGGTGGTAATGGTTAGTCCATAACCCATTCTCGTAATATCTGACATCCTCCAATGTCCGGGTGCAACAGCACTGACGATAGCCAGTGCTGCAGGAGACGTCTCCGCTGATCGAGAAAAGATGGCCGAAATTTAGCGAGTGGGGACTTTGGCGGTAAAGGAGGGATGAATCGCTGATAGCTTTGCTGTGGAAATATGAGATACGATTGACCGTGATCGACAAAGGGTACACACTGGCAGCCGTGCACGCAGGTGGGCATACAGCTCTGCGAAGGCGCTATAACGCTTGTGTACATGTATGACGGGACCCTACGAACATTCGCTCAACATCAGCAGCAAAGCGTTGGATTTTTACGACATACCTCCTTAGTTTTGATGGCACAGTCGAACACTGCCGCTCCTCAGCGAAGGAGGATGAACAAGCTCATCTGTGGACTCACCTATGTATGCGCCGCCTCGCTTGTCTCCGACACTCGTCCACCCAATGACTTCGACCTCCCGCGCAAAGCCTTGGCTCTCGCCAGAATGATCACCAAGCCAGATGTCTTTGGAGTACACTGAGGGTGCGTCGATAGACGGACGAGCGTTGTGCGGATACTCGTACTCCGAGCCCACGGGTGTCTGTGAGATCGCTCAGTTATTGCAATCCTGCCGGTCGCGTGGCGAGAGTGACTCACATCGCACAGTTCCTCGTACAACCGGGCCTCCTCTTCTACGTCAATTTTGTCCGGAAGAACCTCTATGAGGCCTTGGGCATGCTCGAACGGGCGCGGTGTGGTTGGGGACGTTGGGGTCTGAGCAGCCATTGAGAGAGCCGAAAGGTGAGTGGGGTAAGTCTTGAGGGTATTCAGTACATGGGAGCAGAGAAAAGGCGTCGGGATTGAGCCTGTCAAAGAGCGTGCCTTGGGT